GGGCATGGGATTGATCCCTGGGAATGGGATCAGGACTGGGATTGATCCCTGGGCATGGGATTGATCCCTGGGAATGGGATCAGGACTGGGATTGACCCCTGGGAATGGGATCAGGGCTGGGATTGATCCCTGGGCATGTGATTGACTCCTGGGAATCGGATCGGGAATGAGATTGACCCTTAGGAATGGGATGGAGTCCTGGGAATGGGATCAGGAATGGGATTGACCCTTAGGAATGGGATTGACCCCTGGGGAATGGGATTGACCCCTGGGAATGTGTTTGACCCCTGGGAATGGGATCGGGAATGGGATTGACCCTTAGGAATGGGATGGACCCCTGGGAATGGGATCAGAAATGGGATTGACCCCTGGGGATGGGATCAGGAATGGGATTGGAATTCCTGGGAATGGGATTGGCCCCTGGGAATGGGATGGACCCCTGGGAATGGGATCAGTTCTGGGATTGGAGTTCCTGGAATTCAGAGTGGCTGTCCAGCTGGGNCCTCTCAGCTGCTCCACGACCAGGTGGGGGTGACCAACTTCGGGCCCTACAAGCAGCTTTTCCTGCAGACCTTCTCCCGGGGCAGGACGACGTTCCAGGCGCTCCCCAGCCTCCCCGCCATGTACGGATTCCCACACCGCAACTGGTGAGAGCGCCTTTCCCGCATTCCAGGGGCTTTTCCAGGGTTTGAAATCCCGGATTTGTGAGGGATGAATGAGCCCAGCCGGTCTGAGGTGGACGCTCAGAATTCCAGGGATTCCTTGGGCTTTTGCCATGGAAAAGCATTGGGAAACGTTTTCTCAAAATTCCTTTTTACGTGGGAAAACATTGGAAAATTCCATTTTCCATGGGTATTTGGGGAGATTTTTGCCATGGAAAAGCAACAGGACAGGTTTAGGTTGGATATTTGTGGGGAATTTTTCCACGGAAAAGTGCCAGGACAGGCTTAGGTTGGATATTTGTGGGGAATTTTTCCATGGAAAAGCATTGGGAACCATTTTCCCAAAATTCCATTTTCCATGGAATTTTTCGATGGAAAAGCACCAGGGCAGGTTTAGATTGGATATTTTTGGGGAAATTTCTCCATGGAAAAGGACCAGGACAGGCTTAGGTTGGATATTTGTGGGGAATTTTTCCATGGAAAAGCATTGGGAACAATTTTCCCAAAATTCCATTTTCCATGGAATTTTTCGATGGAAAAGCACCCGGACAGGTTTAGGTTGGGTATTCAGGGGAATTTTTCCATGGAAAAGCATTGTAAAATTCCATTTTCCCTGGAATTTTTCCCTGGAATTTTTCCCTGGAATTTTTCCATGGAATTTTCCCGTTTTCCTTGGAATTTTTCCATGGAAAAGCATTGTAAAATTCCATTTTCCATGGAACTTTTCCATGGAAAAGCATTGGAAAATTCAATTTTCTATGGAATTTTCTATTTTCTATGGAATTTTCTGTTTTCTATGGAATTTTTTCATGGAAAAGCACCAGGACAGATTTAGGTTGGATATTTGGGGGAGTTTTTCCATGAAAAAGCATTGGAAAATCCCATTTTCTATGTGATATTTGGGGGGAATTTTTCCATGGAAAAGCGTTGTAAAATTCCATTTTCCATGGAATTTTTCCATGGAATTTTCCCGTTTTCCATGGAATTTTTCCCTGGAGTTTTTCCATGGAATTTTCTTGTTTTCCTTGGAATTTTTCCATGGAAAAGCATTGGAAAATCCCATTTTCTGTGGATATCTGGGGGGAATTTTTCCACGGAAGAGCATCGTGAACCATTGGAAAGGACTCAGGGAGGGATGGTGCATCCCCATCTTTGGAGGGAATTCCCAAGAATTCCTTGGGCCGCTCCAGGAATTCCATCCCACCCTCACCGGGCCCACACCATTCCCAC